AAAACTACTACATGTATATGTGTGTGTGTGTATGTGTGTATATGTGTATGTGTGTGTGTGTGTGTGTCTCTACTCTAAGCAAAAACCATACATTGGCCCTAAAGGAGCTTCTGCAGCATCCAGGAACATGATACTGACACATGAAGCAGGTGGATGTGAGCAGGGCCCAGAAAATGCATTGGGCTGAAGTTCTGATAGGAGAGTGCTTGGTAGGGGTTCTCTGGGAACCAGGTGCTGGTAGGAGAATGCGGAGTGCAAGGAATTTGGGGGGGGGGGTGATCCCAGAAAGCGATAGGGAGCAGGAGGCAGCCAAGAGAGGGTAGGTCATGAAGTCAGTTCCCCCAGGGGCGAGCAACTCAATCCGGCTGCTGAGAGTGTGAGACACCAGCAGAGTTAGGTGGAGTTAGGTTCCTGCTGGAGGAAGGAGGGAGCTGCAATATTTATACCCGCTCTCCCTAACACAGCTGCTCCCTGGGAACACTAGGTCACTATCTGATGAGTGGGCAGAGGGGCCCCCAGTGAGAAGAGAGAGCCCTCAGGCCAGGAGTGGTGAGTGCCCAGGGAATGGGTGTGGGGCTCTGACGATCTGCTAGAGAATAAGAGAGGCTGCGGGGAAGACCTGCTGACTTCTCCGTCCCGCCCAGGAGTCGGCTACGCGGTAATCCTGATCGCCCTCTACGTGGGCTTCTACTACAATGTCATCATCGCCTGGTCACTCTACTACCTCTTCTCCTCGTTCACCCTCAACCTGCCCTGGACTAACTGTGGCCACGCCTGGAACAGCCCCAACTGCACCGACCCCAAGCTGCTCAACGCCTCGGTGCTGGGCAACCACACCAAGTACTCCAAGTACAAGTTCACGCCGGCAGCAGAGTTTTATGAGTAAGTCGTGGACCCCTCCTCCTGGACCTGTTGGGACCTGTGCTGGGTGTGACCTGAGCCAACCGCTAAGGAAAGCCACAGGGGAGGGAGGGGACAAATGCCAGTCAGCATGCTGATGTTTGCTGAGCAGCCTCAGTGCCAGCGCGGGGCTGGGAGCTGAGGACGCAGCCCTGGACCAGGTGATTGGAGCCACCCGTGTTTGGGGGCAGGAGAGGGGAGGCAGGGGAGATAACGCACAAGGAAACAAATACAGAAGCCAGAAGATTTTAGAGTGTATGTTCCCTGCAGGAAACACAAAGCATTTGGGGGAGTGCAACTGCTCATAAGGAACTAAAATCAGGTATGCAGGGACACTGTGGAGGGAAAGGAACTTTGTCTCGGTGGTCAGGGGAGGAGGTGACATAGGAGCTAATGAGGTGAGCGAAGGGGA